CATTTTGAATCTCAAGAAAAATATAAAATTTAACAAATAATGAGCAAAATTGACAATTTTTTGCAGACAGTCTTAAGTCTCAGTGATGTCTGATTTGAACCATAATTCAGTGGCTTTCGGATCAGTTTTGCATCAATTCATAAAATATTTAATTATAACTTTTACGTTATAAGTAGTTATTAGTAGTCATCAAAACGTATTGCAAAAACAACAACAAAAAAGTTGTCAAAAGTTTTTGCTTTGATTTGAAGGCAGAGAGAAAGAGGAGAAAAACACATGAAAATCATGTGACCATTGAATGCATTGTAACGATAGTAACGATGAATACAAACGTGTTATTGAGTGAAAGCACAGCCAAAACAGTGACTGATATTCAATACAAACCGGTGTTTGTCTTCAGATAAACACATCGACGACACAAACACTCCCACCGATTGTCTTACCATTCATTTCACACCACTCTTCGCACTCATTATCTGCACTCTTGAGTCCATACAAATCACGTGAAATACAAGTTTTAATTAAACAAATAGTGAGATAACAAAGAGTTTTGTAAATATGTATTCATTGTTATCAGTGTTTTGTGTTTTACTATTGCTTTCAATGCGATTAACCATCGCTTTTGGTCGACAACTCACTCACGAGGACTTCGATGAGATCATTGGATCCAAACACTATCTCTTCGTCCAATTCTATGCCCCGAAGTATGTATTGAAATGTGTGTTTCAAACCCGATGTAATGATTGTCTTGTATTTGTTTTTGTGGTGACAGTTGCGGTCACTGCCAGAAGTTGGCCCCGATTTGGGACAAACTCGAGACCAAAATGTTGTCAATACAGAGGACACAAGTGATCGTCGGTCGCGTCGACTGCACCGAAGAGCGAGACCTCTGTTCCCGGGAATCAGTGATGGGTTTCCCGACACTTAAGTTGTATAAATCGCACGAAACTAATGGTATTGAATACGAAGGCGAGAGGAATCTCTTGAGTTTAGAGACATATTTGAGGACACAATTAGGCGATCGTATTGTCGATGGACTGACGGACACCGAGGAGGTGGAGGACAGCCTCTCCAGCCAACCGGTGGCCGACACTCCCAAACCCATGAATGGCATGTATGAACTGACCGACGAGAATATCGACGAGTTTCTTAGCAAAGGTATTGAATTGTCAATGAGTTGCCACTGAATTGATCCCAAATGTAAATGATGTAAAGGTCGCCATTTTGTGAAGTTCTACGCGCCGTGGTGTGGACACTGTCAACGGTTGGCCCCGACGTGGCACCAATTGGCACAATCCTTTGAATTTGACACTTCCGTTAAGATATCGAAAGTCGACTGTACTATCAGTTCCATGTCCTGCAAGAACTACGAGATTAAAGGCTATCCAACACTCCTATGGATAGAGGACG